CACTAGTACTGCTCGATCAACTAGTCCCGGGATTGCATTCTCTACTGAACTAACTACTGCTTTCCGAGGGAAAACACAACATAGTGCATCTGAAGATGTGCGAAAAAGTCTAGATTTCATCATCAAACGTAGTGAGAGCAGGTTGCAGGTGTTTTATACCACTGGAACAATAAGTTTCCATCTTAATGAATCTAGTCAACAAGGTTCGCAGGATACATGGATATACCAGATATACCAGTTGTTTATGAAGGTTGGTCTATTACTATAGTGCAGGACTACATGAAATCGAAATCAATCAATGTTTGTTTGGGTCAGACGAAAAAGAGACATCAAATAACGCTGAAATTGCCTACAGAAAGTCGGGATCGACTGAAATCTATGTATGAGGGCCACTTTCGCTAATTGCATTCATCAACTGGATGCTTCTTTAGCTTCATGGGTTACAAAATGTTGTATGATTTGGAATATTCCTATCTACACTGTACACAACTGCTTTATAACTAATGCTTTGAATGCAATGAAAATTCCAGCATTCTACACAGTAAGCTTCATGAATCTACTCGAACCTCTGTATATTGTCAACAGGCTCTGATTTATGATAACCTGATTCGGTATTCTTCAATGAAACATTCTATGACTGTGATTGATAGTGGTTATGGTACAAAGATACTGGATATTTGCTTGAAAGACAAGGATGAGACCCACCACTGGATAAGCGAAGAAGAAGCAAAAGGGAGTGTGTGAGTATCCTTTCTTGAAATAACCGTTTTGGTTACAAGTGAATGCTTTTCCCGGCCCTGGCATAAACCTAGCTGCTTTGAAACAACATAGGTCCACGTAACTAGCTATTAAATACGTATATCTTACCAGTCTCTAAACACCCATCTCAGGCTAACTACTCTCATGCTTAGCCCCAACTACCTTCTTGTTCCCGAGTTCCTCTTTCCTCTAGTTCCCAATAGACTGATTTAGTCTTAATAGTATTAGTGTGGGAAGAGGGCAGTCCCAAATGAAAAAAGCCATTTCTCGATCCCAAGAATCAAGCTTTCATCCTTTTCCGCTATCGTCAAGACAAACCTTAAAACATTCCACCTCGACTATTCATCACAGAAGCGTATCTGACACTATGTCATCATCGTTTTTTCTTCCGAAAGCTAGAAAGGGCCTACCTAGTGCTTGCATTTCGGGGTAAAGTAGCTTTCCCGGCTCAATAAGAGCTGCCTGCAAACATGGAATGCCAATGCAATGATCAGAACTTCCTTGCCAAGGACAATCATAAAAGAAAGGAAGAAGTCGACATCCTGATTTATTATCAGGCTTTGACCTTTATTTTATGACAGGCGAGTAATAAGTGTACGTGCCTTTCCCTTTCCATACCCTAAATCAGGTTTGATTTGAGCCTGGGTGGATACTGTATCAATAGACTATACTATGTCAGTACGGGACTAGAGACAGTAGGGGAGATCCTTGGATCACTTCTAAGGAAGTCTAGTCTGACTCTATAGGGTAGGAAAGAGCAAGAGAGCAGTACTCGTGTTATAGTCCTTCTTGAATAGCATAAAGCGCTAACTTTAAGAGCAGCTAAGAAGTAGACTCATCCCCATGATAAGGTCTTCTTATAGCGTTAGTGCTGGGCACTTCTCTTTTAGCGCTTGCTGCTTGCGATACGATAATAGCTGTGTTATTGAGCGGGAGAAGGCAGATCCACTTTACGGGAAGGGGAAAGTCGACTAAATAGGTTAGCTGATGTCTGCGGCCGCAATTCCTTTTCTAGCTTTTCTTGCAAGCTAGTTTCTAAGTTTCCAGAATCTGGCAATACTACAGCTTGGGACCAAGATGAGCTTCATCGAAGACCACACTCGGGATGTATACCAAGGGTTCGTATTCGGGTCACAACACTTCCACCCTTTTCGCTCATTATCATATCCAACGAATATACATCGGATAGCTTTCTTGTCGAATTTACTTCGTAGATGACGGGGCACAAACACATAGCATACACAACCAAAAAAACGAAAGTGACTTCATAGTCTACTTGGTAAGGGGGTCAACAATGCCATAGCTTCTCGAATGGTGAGATTCAGCTTTAAGGGAGGAAGGAAATTAAAAGGAAGGAAATTTGGGAACCAACGGCAAAAAAAGTATCATGTTGCTCCTCGGAAAACGCGTATAGTAGTCTCATTGGCCTTCGTCGATGGGACAAACGCTCCAGTGTATGCGTTACAAGGCAACTAGCATTTTGGATTAGAAGTTCGTGAAAGTATGTTCTCATTTTTCGTTGGAAAAACCAACGCCCGACGTCAAGATCAGTCTCCTTTCTAGGAGCAGAGCTAAAAAAGATGGGAAATTCCAATGATTCTTCGTTCATTAGAATGTCGATTCCTCACAATCGCTCTTTGTGATGCTGCGGAACCATGGCAATTAGGATCTCAAGACGCTGCAACACCTATGATGCAAGGAATCATTGACTTACATCACGATATCTTTTTCTTCCTCATTCTGATTTTGGTTTTCGTATCACGGATGTTGGTTCGCGCTTTATGGCATTTCAACGAGCAAACTAATCCAATCCCGCAAAGGATTGTTCATGGAACTACTATCGAAATTATTCGGACCATATTTCCTAGTGTCATTCTTTTGTTCATTGCTATACCATCGTTTGCTCTGTTATACTCAATGGACGGGGTATTAGTAGATCCAGCCATTACTATCAAAGCTATTGGACATCAATGGTATCGGAGTGCGCCTCTTAACGAGGGTGATTTAAGTGCAACGAAATGTACCGGTGGTTCGCGAAGCATCTGGCTTACCGGTCATCTCCCATTCCCGTCGTCGAGAGACTAAAAGAACTATAGCATGCCAGAAACGGAGAGTTGAGGTGGTTAGACCTATACCCCGAAATGCTCCCAGCATAGGAGCCTATGGTTCCATTCTTGTTATTGCTGGAGGTACACATACCTCTTCTCGGTGTGGTGGAGCGATATACGAAAAATAGATGCTAAGCCTGCAATGTCCGATAACGGGGCTTTAGTAGTGAATCTATCGGCACCACAGCAGTGGCATACAACTTTGGACCTAAGGGCCGGCCCCGTTACCTTTCGGAATGGGGGATCCCCGTTGGCAACAACCACGGTAGTAGTTGCGGAACTACTGGGCCAAGAGAGGACAACCTGTTGTTCCTGCTCCACCTTCTTCGCTTCGGGGACGGAGGTCCTACGGTAGGTAAGAGCACGCACAAGCACTTGACCGAAGGGGACCAGCGCTTCTACTCCTCCACCGAGGAGCCGTTCTTGCGAGAAGCAAGGGATGTCGTGAACGGTGGGAGGTCAAAGAAAGAGAATTGACCTCTGAATACAGTGATCCTATGATCTAGATAGACTCCGTCCTTTTTTTTTTAGATAAGGGTGACTCAAGAAATTGGGGGTGGGACCTGCTGGCATAATGCAGGCTGGAACGTGGGAATTCGAGGTCTCATGAACGACTTTTTTTCGTGGACAAACATACTTTCCGGTCGGGCCTATGGATCCTTTTAGATCTACGGGCCGGCCGTTCACATGAGCATAGGGAATCTATACTCGAGCCTTCGACTTGGCCCCTGACAGGATAGGTGAGGAATCACTCTTGATCTGATCTATTGGGGCCTACAACTTCGCCAAAGCCGACTAGCATCCCTTTCCACTGCGCATTTTTCGAACAAAGAAGACTACTAAAGGATCGAATTCGCTTTCCGTGGTGAACTGGCCGTCCCATACCTTCATTTTGTCTCATGTGTGTTGAACATTGTCTTCCTCGGTTCCAGCTTCACTGATGTAGGTAGGGCTGGGCGAGAAAGGGTCCCCTCTTGCCTATTAGTAAGCGGGCCTTCGATTCCACCGGGGTCTTACGGTCTCATAGAGGGGGGAGAACTACCTAACTAAAGAAGAATAGTGCTCTTTATAAATAAGAGTAGGCGTGGAGAGCTTTTTGCGGGGAAACTTGCAAGTAAAGTTTGGGGGGAGGCGGGCGTCGACCCAACCTTATGAGTATTCGGACTATAACAGTTCCGATGAACAGTCACTCACTTTTGACAGTTATACGATTCCAGAAGATGATCCAGAATTGGGTCAATCACGTTTATTAGAAGTTGACAATAGAGTGGTTGTACCAGCCAAAACTCATCTACGTATGATTGTAACACCCGCTGATGTACCTCATAGTTGGGCTGTACCTTCCTCAGGTGTCAAATGTGATGCTGTACCTGGTCGTTCAAATCTTACCTCCATCTCGGTACAACGAGAAGGAGTTTACTATGGTCAGTGCAGTGAGATTTGTGGAACTAATCATGCCTTTACGCCTATCGTCGTAGAAGCGGTGACTTTGAAAGATTATGCGGATTGGGTATCCAATCAATTAATCCTCCAAACCAACTAAACCGGGGAAGCTGAAGCGGAAATGCAATTCTCGGGTGAGGGAAGGGGGAAGCTCCAGGAAGGCTTCGCTCGCTCGCTCAAAAAGCTCTAACGCTCGTTTACGGGTGGAGTGCATAAGAAGCCCTTATTGAAGTAGGGCGAGGCCTTACTACACGAGCTCGTAAGTCAAGCACGGAACGAGCCTTGTCTACGAAGCTTCGCTTCATCATCTTGCTTGCTTCTGGCGAAGCTTAACGCACTATAACATAGGCATGCATGATGGTATGGTAGGGTCCAAAGATACTTTTAAGGCCGACCACTACATAGGAGCGATAGGAAGCCAAGCCGTCAAAAGGAAAGGCGAGCAGCCCTTATTGCAATAGCAAACGGCCTACTTATAGCCCTATTTAGACTCTTTCTCGGGGACTTCAACGGGCCTTACATACATAATTTGAATTGCTCTGACATTCCACCTTTATCATGTTCAACGCCCCAAGAGCAAAAATGGATAAAATCAATATGTCCATTTCTTTAGAAGATTTTCTGCTATGTTTGCAAAATGAGTACTCGTGTAGATATTCCCGAATCTTCCATAAAGATAAGTTTGATTCATTAGTTAATTCTTTTTTTCCAGGAAATTATGAAATGAAAAAGATGGACATCGCATCGTGGATTTAACGTTTCAATTTGGGCAAGAGGGCCCTGGTTATGTCGCAAAAGACGACATTCTAAGTTTTCCTCCTCCTCTCCGGTCTGCATGCAAGTACCTCTGGTCCTAAGCACCCCCGAACGGCAACCATCTATAACTGATATCGACAACCGATACGGATTCTCTATCGATTGAAGGAGCTCGTGAACTGGAAGTCGTTTTTCACCTCTGAAGTTCAAAAGATGGATCAATCTTACATCTTCTCCGGTGTCAGAAGTACTATGTAGCGGGAGTCCGAACGCAGCAGAGAGGTAAGACAAGCCTAAACTTTTCCCATGGGACATAAACCTTTTTAGTAGCCGGAGATTGGACCCTTCCCCAAAGTGGAATCCATAAAAGTAGAATCTCATTGTGCGGATTATCCGCCGTAGCATGCGTCCATACAGCATGTGCTAGAGCGACACGTGGGAGAATGAGAACCCAATCGTAGCTCAATCTGGTCTACGGCAACAAAGAAGACCAAAGCGAACCTGCTAAAAGATACGACTAGGGAGTAAAATCCAACCTATAGGTCTCACTTTCTTTGATAGTCATTCGTACCTACACATTCACCGGGGCAGTAAGAACCACAGGAATCCCAGACATGCTGGTAAGGAAGTCGATTTAGTTCTGTGTTTTATCCAGCCCCCGGCTCCAAAGGATCGTGCAGTAGATGTGTCGGGTCGAAGCTTAATCCTTAATAGCCAACCGATGCCTGGCACCACCGCTAAGCACAAGGGCAAGAAAAAGATTGGCCTTAAAAGATCCAAATACTTCCTTGTGGGTTTATAAAAAACCATATCATATCGAAGAACTTGATGGTCTTTCCCCACCCGTTCGATTACTTCTTAAAAGGATTAGATATAGAAGAAAAGTAGTCTACTCAGGAGAATGAGATAAATGCTCATAATATCGCTAGTAACCAACCACAAAAGTAAACAGATGGAGGTCTTTCATAAAGAGAGCAATTTATAGCCCCAATCCTATTTTCCGTGTTCACTTTCAAATGAACATATTTCTGAAAAGTGAATTCGCTCTTCCTGGGTTTCCAGGATCTTCTATTCTGCGTTTCGTTGGTAGATAGCACACCGGAGGCTTGGAAGGAAAATAACAAACCCGAGGAGGGTCGTCCGCTATGAATGAATAGTTGGAAAATCTTATCCGAAAAAGAAGAGTCAGCTGTTTGGCCGATGCTGCAAACCAGACTTCTATCAATGTCAGTGCTTGGGGATCGGGTAAAGCGAGATCACTTTTCAGCTTGACCGTCTCAGTAGCTCCTCCTTCTCTTCTTTCTTCTTGAAATGGAATTAGCTGCCCCTTCTCTCCATACCTAGTAACACATGTCTTTCGTATTTATTGTCCTCATCCCCTTCGTTCTTCCTTCACTCCGTATTGCACCGACGAGCCTCTCCGCCATCGGATATGAGCTTCATTCGTAAGGGGAGTTGCATGCATAATTCACCGAATATTTATGAACCTATAACAACTCTAGAGTACGGAAGACTGATCCCAATCATATCGAAAATCATGTCGTTTTACATCAGGGTCGGCTTACTGCGCACACCCAATTGAAGTGTAAGCAGATAGACTGAATTCACTTCCTGACATTGCATAATAAGCAGGTATGTCTGGGTAGTGAAAGGGTAAGCATACATAGGGTGGTCAGCGGTTTCCCAGCTGCTTAGGATAGTGCTCACCATAAAAGTGGCTTCTGGCTGGACAACACAAGATCTTACTTCACTTATGGGCATTTTTTGCACTTTATGCCCATAAATACACAATTGAGATGAAAATAATGCACGGATGGGGCGGATTTCTCTCTACTTGTGCCGCTACGCACATAGATACTAAAGGTAAATCTACACGGAATGTGGTGTAAATCTACGTAAATAAGAGATAAGTAACCCTATTGTCTCTTCTCCATTTGTATATGGTGAAGAATTCAGTCTACATGCAGTGTTGAATGACGAGTCAAAGTTCATGTGAATAGGGCTCTCAAGCTATTTTGTCATAGCTTCTGTGTGACAATTCCAGAATTTCTTTGTTTTAAATATATTTTATCCATGGATTTTCAATCCACACCATCAGTAATATATAATAAATATTACTAAATAAATATTTTTCTCCGCGTCCATTTCTCTGTATGCGTGCAAGATCTCTCAGCAACAAGAAAGCGAGGTCCATTTATCAACATTTCATCAATATCTCCATCTTCCTTGTCAAGTTCCCTAACCCCCTTTATAGCTTCACGCTGTTTGAATAGTTCCAATTAATGGAATCGAAGTCATTACACGAGTGAGTTTAGCAAGTGGAATATCTGACTTTGAAGGAGCTGCTGCGAGTTCTCGAATTGTAGTTGAACTGGCGTTAGAGGCTAAACTTACTACATTGGCACTCGCTGGGAAGGCTGTTTTTCATTTGGTACTGAAGCATGAAGCAGGTAATATCCAACTCTTATTCGTCCGAACACTTGACTTCAGAACTTTCATCCTGACACGGTTTGTTTTCACATCAAACCCCGGAGTTCTCCTTATATATTTTATCAGATAAGATAGTAGGTCTGTGAGCTGGCAAATTAGTTTACTTCCTTACGCCGCTTTGCTTTCTGTAAAGTCAGCACTATGCTTCTTAACTTAAAGTGCGGATGCGATGGCATATGTGTACAAGATCCTATAGAGAGGGAGGGCAGAGGATTGAATTCTTTACCAAAGGATGCGTCGAAGCGTGACAAAGAAATGGCTGTCAAAGAGAAGGCCAAAAATGCCAATCTTCAAGCCAGAGGCGAGGGACAACAACCTTTGCCCGGCGGGGCGGCGGCTTCCTCAGAAAAAGAGAAAACTCTCTCACTCTCCTCTTTGACTGAACACTTGAGATAGATATTGATCATAGATAGGATGCTGGGTTAAGTAAGAGGATTTTCATTTAGGTGAAATTTGGTCAATATGTATCCCGCTGGGTATGACTCGTAGTCAATCTCTGGAGGATATGGAGGATCATAGGCTAGGTAACCTTTTCACTATTCTTTTTTAAAGGTACCTTCAAGTAACCAGGTCTCTTCATCCTTATCGGGCACTCCCACAAGAGACAATTCTTTTTAGCCTCTAAGAGACAAAAAGAAGAGCCTAACCAGGACCTTGAGATAACAGCCCATAGGGTAGCCCCTACAGAGCAAAAATCTAAGGTCGGAATACCGGAGTTCTTTCTTTGCTTCCAAGAAAATAGATTCCTTCTTCAACCCAGGTCATGACCGAGGGTGGGTATCTCACTCGCATATCTAGAGCCCAGCATCTCTCCTGAACGACACCTTCTGCAGACTCTACTGGTGGTATTCCCCGAGGCGAGGGTAAATATGTGCATTCATATCGGTCAGGAAACGACAATGACTCTTCTTCTTTCCGGGAAGCTATGGGCACCTCACAATTCTTAGACGACATTAGTGGAAGCGAACATTCGTAGCATTCATTGTCACCGATCATTGACAAAAGAAGAAAAAGAAGCCGTACGACAACTTAAGGAATCTTTAGATTTGGCGGCTATAGACTCAAAGGGCACAGACAGGCTGCTGGTACTGTTTTTTTAGCTAACTAAAGTCCAACTTCCTTTGCCGAAAGAGGATGAAACGGACCACCCGATACCAATGAACTCACCAAAAGTTCACTGATCAGATCAACCACTGATCGCTGAGAATTCCAACCCTTTCTATCCCAGCTTCTACTCCACACAGTTGTTCTCGACTTCTACTCTCGATACTTATCGTAGTTTATTTTTCTACGGTTCCTTCGGGCTAGGGTTAGTGTCATTTCCACTACTTTTGGGAGTGTTATGATCAGCCAAGCTCGACAATTCTCTCAATAGTACCTCGTTTTCATCTAAAACACTGCTTAAAGCTCGATGGGCCGTATGGCCAAAGTTTTTGAACTCATCTCCCCCAATATGATGGGGTTTAGTACCAACTAAGCGGCCATCGCTGTCATGAATTGATATTCGCTTTTTACTAGTAAGTCCCATGGTGATATGAAATTCCTTATATTGAACTAATAGTTCTGCCCAATTCCTGTGGAATTGTTTCTCATAGGTGTGTGTGCCTATCGCCTGCCTTGTTGTTTTTCCTGTTCAACCACCCCAACTTGTGACGTATAACGATGCAGGTATCTGGCCAGCATTGACCGTTCGAGTTGATGAGCGGAACCCAGACCCATGCCAACTGGACACCCGCAACGTATGTCCACCCGCCCTTTCCTTTGATAAATCCTATTCCTATCGATTTAGCTGCATAGGCAATACGACGTTACTACGAATAAATGACGAGCGAACCCTCGAAAACCGAATCGGGATTATCCACTTGAACAGATGGGAAACACAAAGCAAGGTATCATTGTTTATAAATGTATCGATTAGCTCTGTTGATAAGGATCATGATGAAATTGCAAGTACGGATGGATTGAGACCCGATCTGTTCCGATCCTTTGGCATGGGAAATCCTTCCTTTTACTCTCTCTTTTGAATGAGTCGTGATGCGCTCATCAAGAAGGGGAAAGATGGATGGGAAATGCTTGTCAAGCTCGGTTCTTTAAAGAATAGCATCCTCGTCTTCCTAGTGAAAAGCGCATTGGGATTCTCTACTTGTGGTGGTATAGTGCTGCTTTTAGTGATTTGGAGGGTGCCTCCCGTGGGCATGCCTGCTACGCTGATTAAGCGGGTAGGCAGATGGATTGATCTACTCGTTCAACTTGCTTGTGTTGGTGAGTTGTTCTATTATTGATTGGTCGAGCCCGGAGGAAGAGTGGCCTTGAGTTTCTCGATACATAACATTGTCTAAATCAACCCAAGTCGCTTCTTCATTTCTCTAAACAGACTGGTAGTTGGGTGAGGGATGTTTACTATTGATTGGTTATAGGCCTTCCTTCCAAGCATCAAAGAAAGAAAAGAGCAAAGCAATTCCAACATAAACTGACACTTTAGGATCCTCTAAGCCTTTCTATAGAACCCCTAAGTAGGGAAGGTACTAAAAAGAAACTCAAAACTAGCACTACTAACACAGGCTGAAGAGGATGACCTCGAAAAAGAATACAATTAAAGATGTGGCCTTCCCTCCAAGCACATATATGGATATGGAGCACTCTTTTCCACCCTATCCTTATATATTTCATTCCCGCCATTGACAGCAACTCACTCTTTTCGAACTGCACTTTGAAAGCCAAAGCCAAGAAAGACCATATCAACTACTCTCCAAATTGCAGGATAAGTCACAGAATTCAAATGGAAGACAGAAAGAGAAGGCAATTCAAACCTAATGGCCAAACATTACGAATCCAAGACAGAAAGACTTATAGCCATAAAAGAATAACAAGAGAACAAAAACAACTCCATATTCTACTGGCCTGCCTCTCTGATCTACTATCCAACTGCCATGGAAGCACCACTGAAGACTGGCTTCTCCGACCTTCCACCCGATCCTGGGCGATCCCGGATCGACAAGCCGACGGTATGGATTCCCTATATATGGATGGTAGGAACGCTTCAACTGCAGAGCCCTGAATGCGTCAGTGAGGTTCCCTCTATGAGAGAAAGAGAGGTTGCTAATCTTGGATCAGACGGCGTGTTGGTATTATTGATAAGGCTTGGATTAGCAAATTAGCACCGCTTGAGTTTAGGTATTCGAAATAGCGAAATACATAAATTATCTATCTCAAGTACGTCTCCAACTTATCTTGAGCCATCAGTCAGATTAAAAGCAGCGCCCTGCCGGCAGCTCCTGACCTCTGTTCCTATGGGAGAAAGAAGGTGTGGCTTTGGACCCCAAACTCTTCCATGACGGCCTTCTTCCACTCATTTTATTAGCAATCAAACCTCTTCCCTGCTCTTGCACTGAGGTAAGCATTCAAATAGCAAAGCAAGGGAAAAAATATGGTATGTATTTTTTTAATCTACATACAGAGAAAGCGGATGTGCCCTTATTAGCGCAGTTGAAAATAAAATATATAACGCGTAGTTGCAAGCTTTCTTTCGTGAGCTAGCTATGTTTGCTTCCTCTTTTCCTCTCTGTTTCGGATGTCAACCCAATCTCTGATTCAAGTCCATAAGTTCCTTTTTTATAGCTCCTGTTGCTCTTCTCTGGCTAGGATCTCACTTATATGGCCTTTTTTTTCTTTTATATATTATATAGTAAGCTTCAATAGATAGCGTAGTAGGTGCTGTCTCTATTTACTTTCTTTCTTACGCCTAGGTGCTACCTTCTTTCCAGTTCCGTAAGTCCCATAGAGTTATTTTTTATCTTTGATTCCCAAACGCTGCGCGCAAGTCAAGCTTACAGAATTCCTGCCGGGGCGCCTTCTTTCTTATGCCAGCCAAGTAGCAATCAGAAAACCAATCAATCTTCCTTACACTACGACAATTCACTTGAACTACCAACATCATGAGTGACCCAGGCCGGCCGTATATGCGTCATTTCTCCTCATCCTTGTCTCTATTTGTTAATTGCTCGCTACCCGTAGTGGGCCTTGAGTAGGATTTAAGCACGGGTTTCGAACCGTCTACTTTTCCTTATCCTTATGGGAATTTAAGAGAGAGATCACTCCACTGAGTAACCGAGAGAGAAGATTCAGGCAAGTATGCCGTACCCTATTTAAAATAGAGGCAACGAACCACCAATCCATTACGATGCCCGCAAAGAAAACCAACGCTTAAGACGCTATTGGAGACTAGCGTAGCTATTATTCGAAGCTTATTAATTTCTTTACTGCGTTCAAGGCATGACCGCGTGATAGGTGTCCTTTTCCCCCTACTCAAGAAGAGTTACATCTAAGTTCCGATCGTGATATGACAAACAAATCTTACTTTTTCTTTCCCAAGCTGGCGCATAACCTCTGGACCGATAGGAAGATCGATGACCCGCATCCTACAACTTCAAAGAAGTATTTGTATCACACCCGAGCAATGGACCGGGGAAGGAGTTTCATTCATTTACGGAGTTTGGAAGCGAGGACGATCCAGGATCGACTGCTATCTGAAGAAGTGGAATGGATCTGATTACCCATTGGCGTCTGCATTGACGCTTCTGACTACCCCTACTCTGTGTCTTTTGCGTTTCCTTATTCATGTACTCATGTCTATTTCTATTTGTATGATACTGATATTGCAATCGATCTATCCCTTGGTCCTCCCAATCGAATTGTTAAGTATGTTTTTTCCCTTTCGAGAAATGGTGGCAGTACCAAATGCCGAATTAGCGGCTGTACCAAATGATCAATGCCTCTGGGGTTTCCCTTCTCTTCAGCTCTCCCCGGTTTCACCGATGTGTTGGGCACTGAACACTTTTCAAGATCCGGTTTTGGTAGGACGAAGATTTTTCACTTTCGTGAAGGTCGTTCTGAGGTGGAATCGAACCACTCTGTTAGGATTTAGAGTCCAACGCGCAAAGCTAAAGAGGATTTCGAGTCCTCTGCTCTAACCAGCCAGAACCTAGAATACAGGGATTGTGATACTGAACACCCACACAATCTCGATTTGACATGACAGAGAGAGAGAGATGGCGATGGCAGTCTCTCTCTCTCTTCTTTTTAAGGGATATTATTGACAGGCAAAAACCAATGTTCAATTCATACTTCAGATCTTGAATCAGGCCTCGAAGAATTCTATGGCAATTCATACTTTCTTAAGAAATAAGAGAGAATCTCCTGGCTATGCCTCCCAAGCGATCTCGGCTGAAGGTATCTATACTCATCCTTCAGCTTTATTAGACCCCTCTCACTTGGTTGACAACCAATGAGCCCCTTATGTAGGAGGAACTCATGTACGCCTTTTCGAACCTCTTCGGGACCTGTTGTGTCTGCCCTCGACTTAGCCGTCTTAGAATAGAAAGGTTTCGCAGATTCAGATTAGGATGCACTGAACACTTTTCCAGATCTGGTTTTAGCGGCACTGAAAAATCTTTGATTCTCGTCTCGTTTCACTTGCATTTGCTTTCGTTCTAAAGTGGAATCGAACCACTCACTCCGTTTGGATTTAGAGTCCAAAGGGCCCAGGCCCAGCGAACGAAAAAGGATTTACAGTCCCACGCCCACTGCCCTGCCTTCACCTTTTGATTGCTTTATTTTTATACGATTTTTTGAGCAACTAGCGCGAAAGCCGTTGCGCGTTAGCGCATTCGGAACCACACATTTTTATACGATTTTCTGAAGTGCGAAGTGCTCAGAATAATCCAGGTCGCTCGACGTAAGGAGAGGAACGAAATATCAATAGAGGAACGAAAACCGCGGGGTATGAAATTAGGGTAGGGTTGGCAGGGTAAGTCCAACTGAAACTTTCTTTGATTACCTTTCTTCTCCAACTGGCTTAGAGATTGCATTTGCCCTTAACCGGTAACCTCCTTTGAATCCTTCGTTTAGACCCTCTCTATTGGTATTGGCATTGGCTCGAGAGCAAGGACCTTATTTGATCGCTTAGAACTTGATGGAGGGAAATACAACTCACTCGCTCAAGATATGCTTAAGCTAGCTCAGGAAGAGTACTAATTTTATATGCCTTAAAGAGGGGATTCAAAGAGTAGCCTTTTACTAGGGCTTAAGTTACTCGTTTCATATTGCTAACTATTTTTATATAGCTAGAAAGTTGAGTAAGAAGTTCTTTCATTCCTATCCCGTGATATTCCGCCTTGCTTTGAAGTAGTAGTTAAGGCGAGAAAAGGAAAGCTGTTCAGTAGGAGGAATTTCTACCGATTATTGAGTGGTTTGTTTCCTTTCCCCTGTAAGGTCAAATGGTTTATTTGCACCTGTAGTGGGACACCTCTCCCAGCTCCCAGCCAGGGTTCAAGCAGGAAACTCTGTTAAGGAGCTGATCCGAATACAGATACAAGGCCCCCACTCATCACAACGAACGGTGAGCTTTCCCACTAGCCTTCACAGGAGCAGCACAATCATGGCCAAAAAACAAAACAAAAAAAGATCGTATAGTACGAGAAAACCAATGGCATTTATCTATTCTAAGTAGTTTCTTCTTTTCTTTTTAGAGGACCTTACCTGGCCAACTCAAATTCCAATGCTGCAAAACTATTGGTTTACTGAAGGTAGACCTAAACGCTGAAGTGTTGTTATTTACTTCCTTCGATAACATAGATTGTCCACTCTTATGCCCCATGCATAAAAATGGCTTGTGCTTTAGCACGTTTCGAATCAAAGAATAGAAAAAAGTAGGTGGATCGGGATCGCTATTACGAGTATTCGAGTTCTTGTTTTCCTTTCCTTGGAAAGGGAATTATTTCATGAGAAGTGCACCGGTAGAAATGTGACTAAATATGATCTTGATCTATAGCTCGGACACCTGGGACCATACTATTACGATGATGATGGAACGGACCTAGAGATCAGCATAATGGAAGAAGTTACTCCAGAGATGAGAGTATCATATCGATCTAGTATCTACTTTTTCACGGGGACCTTGATCTTTCCATCGATCCTTAGGCGAATTCATTTACTTGAGTACTGTACTATCTTTCTTTATACTACTATTCTTGATACCGCTTTTCCTATGCATCTGGGATCTGATATGTGGGGGTCAGAGTGAGAAGATGGTTTTGGCCACGGAGTTGAGTTCGGAAGAATCCTAGTTTGTTTTTTTTCATTTTCTCTGAGCAGTGAATAAGAATATCCTTGGCAAAAAAAGAAAGAAACCCGATCACAACTCCTATCACTTTCCTATTAGTCAATCACATCACCCACTCGTACTCTTCTTTTCTTTGAACCCATGAAAGGTCTGTCTCAAAACTTAGATTTAGATATGCAAGCACGAGATTCCCTACTTCCGGATATAGAAACATTAAAGCCATTCCATAGTACATGCCGATTGAAGGATGTGGACCTTTTGTTGGCGATGAGGCTGCAGAGAAGAGTTCAGCCATGGGCGATAGAGCTCGGGTTGGATAGAGAAAGGAAGAAGCAACAGGAGTGATGGAAACAATAGGTCGGCAGAGAACGAACAAATGCAAGATCCTCAAGAAAATGGATTAAGGTAAGGTGGGCTTCGGATTACCGAAATTGGATTTCCTTTTCGTGCCATATGTCGCTTAGACTTGACCTTTTCTCCCGCCCCCTAAAATCTTCGGCTCCTCGTTTTTATTCAATTATGAAATTACTCATTTTGATGGAGATTTATAGCATCATTCAAGTAAATACAAATTGAGATCGTAGAAACATGAGCTTGTAATATAGCTACACCTAATTCCAGACCGGTTAATGCTAGAACTATAAATAAGGGACCAAGATCTCCTATGAAATAGAAAATATTATTCAGAAATAGCATAGTCCAAGCGAACCCACTTAAAATCTTTACTGAACTATGACCGGCCATCATATTAGCAAATAAACGTATTCCTGAGCTTAATGCACGAAAACAATGAGAGATTAGCTCAAGGAGTACTAAAAAAGGTGCTAATGGCAGTGGGACTCCCGCTGGTAATAAGAAGCTAAAAAAATGAAGCCCATGTCTTTGAAATCCAACGATCGTAATGCCTATAAAAATGGAAAATGAAAGAGCCAAAGTAATGAGAAAATGACTTGTCACTGTGAAGCTAAAGGGTATCATACCCTGGGGATTACGAAATAACGAAAAAGTAAAAGTGACCGAGATGCGAGGGAAAAACTTTTGTTTAACATTTCCACCTATTTGTTCGTTTACCAGGTTCAGCACGAAATCATAAATAAGCTCTACCAAGGATTGCCATGCATTTGGCACTGACTTTCCCCCGCCCTTTTTCGTAACAACTCCAAATAAAGATGGCACCAAAACGACAGTTACCGCCATAGACAAGGATTCATTTGTGAATGATAAATAAAAGTTACCCATATCAAGACCAAATAATGGATCAATGAAAAATTGATCCAAGGGGCTTGAAATTACTGGTCCGCCGCCTCCAGGGATAACTATATCGCCGTTCCTCCATTCAGCCCCATCTAACAACTCTATTCCGTTCTGCCAGTTATTGAAACGGATACGCTGCGCCCTCTCAAATGGTTCAAAAAAAGCGTCTATTTCTGCTTGTCTCCTTCTCTTCAACGAGTTCACGTTATAATCATTGAGGAGTTTCCAGATCGAGTCTCTCTGATTCAAACCCATTATTACCACATGATTGTGATCGAAATTCATTGGAATTTCCCATCTTTTTAAGCTCTGCTCCTAGAAAGGGAGACTGATCTCAACTGGCCTCGGTTTTTCCAAGGAAACTCTATCTTTAGTAGCGATCACATGGCGTCGACCCAACGGAAAACATACTATACTACTATGAACATTTCAGAATGGAAAACGAAACTGAACACTTTCCAATACTGGTTTCGGATGGCTTATGTGCATCGATTTTTCTCAATCTTCGTAGGGGCTTGACGTATAGGTTCCCCAACCTATCCTAAAACTCTAGTCTAGTGAAGGCGGGGCCAACAAATGACCTCTTGAGTGAGATTACATCCCAGAGCCTGCCTATTCAATGCCACTCCTGGTAAGATCCATTTTCACCGATACCCGCTCTCTATATATGAGTTTCTGGAAATGGTTATCTCACAAGCAAAGAAGGAATTCAAATTCTACCCCTCAGAAGAACCTTCAAGCAGTACAACCCACAGATGATGAAGTGAACAGGACTTCTTTTCTTATATTTGCCTGTTGAACTCCGGCAGCAAGTGCCTTCCTTACTAGTGAGGTCTTGCTTTTGCTTCTTTGGTTGGTACTCTTCTATCTGGGACTGGGAAAGATCTTTCTGCATTAACGGAATTAGGCTTACTCCTCAGAAAGCCCTACTACTTTACTCTAGGCCTAGTAGTTATAGCTAACTCACTGCTATTGGTTGGGATGAATTTCCCTACCCTCGCCCTACGTGGTTTAGAAGAGTAGTATAAGTAAGGAAGCCTGATAATCATATAGGCAAAAGGCACCCTGTCCCAGACAAACCAGACAGGCAGCAAATTTCACTAAGGCAGTAAAGCATTCTGATACTCCTATACAGACAAGGCTGTAACCCAATCCGACCAGCCTCTCGGAATACCGAATAGGCAAAGTACGGAATCAAAATCAAGGGGACAAGGAGCCTACCAAGTACGGCAACAAAAGAAAGAAAGACGAGACAGCGCTACGCTTGTTCACCAAAGGTCAAGATATCCTACTTAACTTTCTTACCACTGTTTCGCATGCCCGGGACATTGCTTGCCTAATATGATAGCTTGGCCTTTTCTTCTCTGCTACCACCTTATTAACTTCCGAGAATCCTCCCCGAGAGGACAGTCCTTCCTCTCCCTTTACTAGATTAGTCTCATTCCGGCAATTCTTCTTATCTTCATTATATTATTCCCTTTTCTTCTTTTTAGTGATCAACTCATTGATTCACAACTATTCTCACTCTTCTTCATTATATTATTCCCTTCGTGTGTGCAACGAATTGCATTAGATGTTAAAATCTAGAGTGAAGAGATAGACTCTCCATATTAACGTTGTCGCTCTCTAGTCAGACAGCTAGAGCACGGTTATTACCAACGGGTAGTGACAACCATACAAGAAAAATCCCAACTAACATATATGACAGTATAGAAAGAAAGAAAATGTTAAACATGGTTTTAAACCATTTTAACGGTAAATCGCACAGGTTCAACAACAACAACGATGATTGTAAATATATAACTGTTCCTCATGATAACACACATCCTATTAGTATTAGCTTGCTAAACAACAAATGTACTCAATCTTTGGATTATGGTAATAACGGAATCTTATTTAAACTTATGGGTATATATAAGAATATAAGGAATCAATATACTTATTATGGGCGTATCTCCTCTATAAAATCCATCACTTCTCTCAATGGATTGAGTCATATAATCAAATCTTATTATGAAAAAGATGGATTGAGCGACGGGACATTAACCTGGATTTAGCCCTCCTCTCTACTATCTACTGGCTAGACCTCAGTTTAGAGCAAAGCGTGAACTCTGCTTCTAACCATCAATAAGATTGACTCGAACAAGACTGGGTTCCTATGAAAGTGAAAGGCAGGAGCTCTTGTATAAAAAAAACATCCTTTTCTTTGGGTATCTCGAATGCCAGTTCGAGGGTGTGCTTTTAGGTCTTGATCGAGAGTGCTTCCTTTCGTGCCTTGGTTAGCCGGAACTATAAATGCCGGGACTATGGGGAAGGCTCCCTCGGGCGAGATGGCTAAGCGTGTACGACGAATTCTGTCTATCTGAAGATCTGAGAAAGGCGCTGATTACAGCTCTGTCCTTGGATGGACCATAGGCCTGATGCTAGGAGAGTGTAGTTCGAGCATTCTATTGTGTGTTCGATCCGTGATACGCAAAGCAATCCCCTGTTTACTAATGATCTAATGACAGTTGATTGAGACTTGCCATTGTCGTCTTTCGAAAGCGAACTCTTATCTGGTTTCACTCGGGTTCTCCTGTCGACGAGAAGTGCTCGGTTCGGATAACTTCTGTTTCCGTACCGGGATCAGCAGGAGGGGAATTTGAGGTTCTTGGTCCTCTGCGAAATCAGTCCGCCAGCTTGTTCTTTTCTTTCCAGTACGAATAGGAAGATTTTTTAGCCCAGACCTAACACTCTCTTTTGGTTGCTTACTTCATTGAAATAGAAAGCACATCTCTAACTCCTGGCTAACCCCAATCATTCAAAAACAACTTATCGGGTTGGGCAACCAACACGTGAAATCGATGCCGGGCCACACTTCCTTCAATTAATTGTTTAGGTTTACCTTGGCAGAGCATTCGATCCAGGTGTGGGAATCATTCCCACATCATGTATTTCCCCTAGCCTGTTGGGAATGTAGGTGTCCGAGAATGAAAGCTCGGCAACGGAGCAGACCGGAAGAAGTATGTACCTCATGAAGCAAGCACTACCCAGAGCTAGTAGTATGCCCACATTTGCAGGATGAATCCCTTCACTGCCAGCTTCTCTATCGCACTGGACCTAGAAAGAGTCCAAACTGGAAGCATAGATCCTTGAGAAATAGAGCAGCTATGAGTGCTGTCCACTACCTCTAATGTTCCAAAACAGATAATCCCTCACTCGCAACAGAGACCTCACTACCGTGCTAACACCATTCATTTCCTTCTTTACTACAAAGTAAGCATCAGCAGCTGGATAGAAAGCTAAAGCATTTATTTATAGCTGACAGTTAGCGGAAGCTAGATTTCTTACATCCGGGGATATCTAAATATTGAACCTGTGATATTAAAGAATGGCAAGTCAGCGGTGAAGTGTTGACTTCAGAAACTTGAATCTTCCCAGTCCAAAGAACGAGTATCCAATGCCGATAGCTGACCTACTGGTAAATTCGCCTGCTTGTAACTGTGTATTGAGCCTCTTGGATACCCACTCAGGGTATAACCAGGTGCCAATCGCCGAAGAAGATATTAACAAGACCGCATTTAGATGCCCTGGTCCAGAGTTGGTGCCTATGAGTGGAGAGTAATGCGGTCTCAAGAATGCAGGAGCCACATACCGGAGGACTATGAATAGCATATTCCAGGGTATGGTACGCCGAGAATTGGTGGTGTACATTGATGATATTGTTATTATCCCTCAGCCCGAGGAACAACATCTCCTGAATCTGAGGAAAGCGTTCGCAGTATAAGTTTCAAATGAATCCTTTGAAATGCGCCTTTGGTGTCTCGGCTGGTAACTTTCTCGTATTCTTAGTCCGTCAGAAGGGGATCGAGAAAATTAAATATAAACTAATGGTTTGCAAAATCAATGTCTTACTGGATTTCGTCTATCCTTAGCTTACTGCCCTAAGATTTATATGCTTGGATTATTCGTAATCTACCTCGTGGTTACGTTTTTTTATCTTAGAAGGAGTTGCAATCTACAAGGCCTATAACGCCGTATCAGATCTTTCCATTGCCCTATGGTCACTTGCTTAAAAACGGAAAAGAGACTGAACTTCACTTAGGCTTTCTCGCAAGCTTATTAGAGCATTGAATTGAGCTCTACTAAGAGTAAGATGGCTTTTATTCTACTAAATCCAAAGAATGCTGGCTAGGGTGACGCTCGTGCTTCTTTCGAGTAAGGCAAACTTAGTAAGGGGGTCGTGTTATTAAGTATATTTCTTAGCTACAAGCCTGGCCTTTCACTTTTCTTAGTTCCCCTTTTTCCAACCTTTTCCATTCCATATCTCACCACTCTTCTTTCCCGGATAGGTGCAGAAGCACACACATGGGGAGTGGATTCAATTAGTATTGCGCTCGCAAAAGGAATAGGAATAAGCCTCGTGATCTAGGCATCTTTCATCCCGAGGTAGTTCCCTACCAAACCCCCCCAATCAGGATGTTACTCGAACGGAGTCCTAGGGATAAACTCTAATACCCTCGCTCGTATTTGAAAGCTGTAAACCTCGTTTAAGGGCTACCTTTATAGTTGACACTCTAGCCGTCTAGTTTTTGTAAAGCCTACGTGGCACTTCCGGATATGAATGATAGGTTTTTTCCCCTCACTAGGATAGGAAGCAAGGGTTGAAGGAATAGCACTTGGGAGCGAAGCAGAGGCAAAGGACTACGAACTCGTACCATCCGTGATAGAAGAAAGAAGGATCAGATCGTAAGCGAACAGTGGCAAGAGCGTAAGCGAGTTCAGTCATCCATTCAGCTTTTAAATCGGAGACAAGGAAAACTTCATAGAAGCGCCGCGGATCAATATAGAGATGCGAACCAATATCCTTTTCCTGGTGGGCTCTGAAGTACTCGTCTTTTGCACAAGGCCTCGTGTCAAAAAACTTCCAACCGCGTCCTCCTACCTCGCCCATTTGCGGAGATCATCTACATTTTGCTCCGTGTCGAGCTCCAGTCGGCCCAAACGTTTTCCTTCGGGAGGGCATAAAATCGCTTTCTTTCTATAGGGAGGACGAACATAAAGACGATTCAAGTAAGGGCCGAGAGCCTACATATCACTGAGATGGGCCAAGGAAGAAAAAGCACCTACTGTTCGTTAATTGAAATTTTCTTTGCTTAGCGCCCTTGTGTTTCGAATAGAAAAGCACTGGAGATATCTGTGGAACTGTTCTTAGGGCAAGCTAGCAGAAAGAAGTAATCTATCTGGTCAGCCTGGCGAAGCATTTAGGCAAATGGTCCCCAGGGGAAGGAGAAAAGAATCCTAGGTAAACAACAATGCTTTCCGATCGAAACACCCTTTTTTTCTTATGTTATGTCAATATTTTGAGAGAAAACTTCCATTTATTTGTTGAATAGACAGATTGGCCGAGAATACCATAGCTATACTTTATAGTCATAAAAACTAGAATAAAAAATCAAAAAGAAAGAGGAGAAAGAACTGGGAGTTGGCGCCTACATAACAGGTAGCTTGCTTACCAAGCCGTCCTGGCAAGCTCCTACAGTTCTCTTATTATTCTTGACTTGACTTATTAATAAGAAAACTGCTCACTAACAAAATGAAAGACGATCTAGAATCTACCCAAGAAGATAGAGAGTCCCACATACGAGAAAAGGTCACAAATGGAGTTGAACCAAGTAACATTGCAAAGGCATAATGATAGTAGGGTCGGGATATCCCCGCCCTCCGAACCGGACGTGAGGGACTCCCCTCATCCGGCTCTCTGCAGGGGAATCTCCACTCACTGCTTCCCCTAATATCCTCCCTTTACCACATCATGGGGGTTTACAGGAGATCCCAGAGACTCGCTCGGAAAGGCTGCTATACCAAACATTATTACTTAACTACAAAGAAAGAAAAGACTATAGTAGTCACTAGACTGACTATAGTAGTCCGTCCGGCTGCTCTTGCTTAAATCATTACTCTTCATTCTCCCGTGCTCTAGCAATTGCGCTCCCTAGACCACTACCATTTAGTTAGGTAGGGACAATCAATCCATAGTTACGGGAATAACGGAATGCATGGGGGTCCAAAAAAATAGAAAAATGAAGATTTTCTATGAAATCCTTTCTTTCCATAGATGTATCTGGTCTGAGACGGTACAGTACTCTACGAGAGGAATGCAATGGGATGGATGGTAGAGGGCTGCCTGCGCCCAAAAGCGATGATTCACTTGTCCCCTTGTCTATAGGGACCTTGTGGCATACAACCGCCACGACTCCTGCGTTATAGCCGCCCCTTTCTCTCTTTCTTTTGACTGCCTCGTGGACGGACGAAAGAAGGGAAGTTACAGAAGGGGGCAGTGAAGGCTCGCCAAGTAGACAGCAAGCCCCCACCCCGTCAGTCCTGTGTTGCCGTAGCGTGCCCTACTTCAATAAGGTATTACCTCGCCGAGGGGATAGGATTGGATTCATTCACTTGCATTCCTGCTAGCACTACAAAAAGCTCCGGTCTTAACGCCCTTACGGAAGCAGTGCAGCCTTTCCTCGGGTTCGTAGAGTCGGGTTTCCCGTTTACCCACAACGGAGGAGCCGCCCCCACCAACCAAAGCAGGTAGGCGGCCACGGTTCATAACGCACTCTTCGCACAACAGATCCACTTTGAAGTTGACTTATTCGCTCGGCCAATCGTCGGAATGTGTACGAGATACCATAAGGGCCCAATATCTCAATAGCACCCTTGTCTAAAGCTTCGAATGAGACTGAATATCCGAAACGCAGGAACGATCTGACTAGAAAGTCATTCAAAACTTGATCGAAGAACCAGCGTTTATTGAAGAAGCTATAGAGTCGATTACAAAAAGTACTAGTTTGAAAGGCTCGTTGGAATTGATCCGCTACGAGATTGACATTATACGCTAGAGAAGCACCTGAAGTACTAAACAGAATAGGTATTAGTTTTGTAATGGTTGGAGCAGCAAACTCGGATTCGGCAAGAATCTCATTTTTTGGTAGTACGAAGGGGGAATTGGCCCAAAAATTGGATAGGGGTAAAGACGCAGCCGGGGGCCGGCGGCTTATTCAAGTGCCCCCCGAACCGCGCGAAATGGTCGCCTATTACACGGCTCACAAACTCTGCCTGGGGTGGGGCTACCTATTATTCGTAGGCGGTACGTACGGCGCACGCAGGGCCTCGGTTTGCTGCGTGGACTGTCTATGCATTTCCTACAGAGTGTAATGGAACCCAGCTCAGCTCCGCCGAGCCAAAAGGAAAGAAAAGAACAGAACAGCCGGAGGCGAAGAGTAGAGTATAGCCAAGGGGCTTTCGTCGTCCGTAAAGGACCTAACGGAAGACCGTGCTCCGAAGTGCACTGAGAGTTTTGTTTTAAGAACACTTGGCCTTACCCCTTCGTTTTGAGCCATGTAATCGGCAAGATTGAACCGAGGCCCGCCCGGGCACCGCCGGGGGGACAACCAGTAGGCTTTCTTTCCGAAGTTTCCTCCCGGGGCCCTTAAATCATTGAATTCATAGGCATAAGGGCGTCCCAGGCAGTGGTTCATTCAATGAGAAAGAAAGACAGGAGGGCAGGATTCGTCGCGTCGGGCGAATTCATTCTGGGAAAAAAGGGGGAAGGGAGTCACCAGAGCTATGCGAAGGGAAGGAAGTCGTGGGCTGAGCCGGGGGTCACTTTTCCCGATCCATCCCGAAGGTTTTTTTCCCTCTCTCGCCCCATCATCGTACCCAGTCCTGCTATCGGCTCAGCCCTATCTATTCATCTCTATTTTTTTACTTTTCTATTTTTTGATCTCTCTTCTTGTTCATAGATCTTGAAAGCGGATCAATAGAAATTTATCAAAGGATCTATCTATAGAAAGATCTAGATCTCTATCATCATCTATCTCTATATCTAAATATGGAAGAACCCTCGAAGCCTGTCCCCGACGACGATGCCCCCTGGGCGAAAGGAAAGGGGCCGCCATTCTCTTTCTTTCCTCAATCGTTCCGATCATTTCTCTCATTCCCTTTTGTTTGTTTGGTGGGGCCCCGGGTTGGTTCGTTTCCTCCTCCTATCTACGCAATTCTCCGTCTTCGTTCGTGATCATCTTAGGCGAAAGGATAGGTATCAATTTTGTGGAGGGGCGGCTGTGAAAGGGCGATTCCCCCTTTTCCATTGAAGTAGGGAAGGGGGTGATTGATCTTTTTTGAATCAGGCCTTACTGACCAAGTGGTGGTATAAGCTTCATTGCGGATGAAAAGAAGTCCTTGTGAGCGGAGCTACAAAAGGAAGTTCAAGCTCAAGAAATCCTCTCAATAGGGATTGGGCAAGCAAGCTGTTTGTTTATTTGATCTTACCCGGTTGTGAGACGGGACGTGAAGTCAACCAAGTACATGTGTGTTCATAGTGTCCCCGGCACCTTCCTCCTAGCTGAGTATGGATGCTGAAGTTAGCTGGAGTGCGTGGTAGATGGAACTCCTATTTACCGCATTTCTTCTTGCACTTCCAACTTGAAGAGGAAGAAGCATCTCTCTTTGCATCTTCAATAGATAGGAAAAAGGATCTTGACCTGAAGCCTTCGACCAAAGAAAGGGAGAGTTGGTGAAGTCAGAGGTGTTCCCTAGATTCATGGAAGGACTTTTTGACTCTAAGGTTTAAAATTGATCGAGAAATGAATGATGAGTTGTTTAAGTTCCTGCTGAATCCACTATTATCGATGTAGGTAGAAAGGGCATAAAGCCACGGAATGCAGAAGGGAGCAGCAGGAAATAGATTTTGCAGGGAAGTGGGGCATAAAGTGTTTATCTGTGCCAAGAAAAGGCTATTGAAGCCGGCCCAGAGAGAAAAAATGGAAAAAGAGTGTCCTTTTATTCTCCCAAAAAAGGCGATCAAGTTTGAGAAGGAGATAGATAAGTTCCTTGTGGTCAAAGCTTCGGAAAACCTCATGGCGGCCGGCCGACGTGGAGTGGGAACTTCACTACTACTGGCGCGACGGATGGAGATGGCTGGCGAGGAGCATGGGGGAAAGTAGATTCTTGGTTGAATTTCAAAGCCCTAGGCTCTTGAGATGGGGTCCCTTGAAACGAATAGAAGGTTTCTTCACTTTGACCCCGGACCCCCGGAGATGGAGAACCCTAAGGATATGTTTGAGACATGGCTCAGGGTGAGAAGGTCCCCGTTCAGATGTTGGACGTGGAATCTCAATAAAGATGAGTATTCTGTTCTCAATTCCGATTGAATGGACATCTGTTTTATTTCAAGAAGATCCCCAAGTAAGGCACTAGTCTCATATTCTATGAATGCCCACAATCGCTTGTGAAAGAATCAGCTCTTCTTTGCATGTTCGCAACTGTCTTATTTAGTACTGTTTCAGATTTCCTGATTTTTTTAGTGCGAAAGAAATCGTTGTTACACAAGTATTCACCCTTGCTTGCTCTCGTAAGCGGTGCTACAGGTGGAATAAGAGCTGCTCGAGAAGAAGCTGTAGCTGTGGTTGAGCTAGTGCTTCATACCTTACTGGACAAGGAAGGAAAGGCAAGGAGGATCAGTACGGGAGAGAAAGTGATTTAAGAATGTGAATTTGATTTGATAAGTAATCAAGGCAATTAGCTTAGGTTCATCCCGAATCCATTCCATGTTTCTTAAACAAGTCCTTCAAACCATCGTGCTAACAAGCCATTCTCCTCCGAAAGTCCCAGAGCTTTTTCTGGTCCATATGCAGCCTGAACTGTGCTGCTCTCTGATTTGATTCACTTCCTTTCCATCTCCTCTCCTCGCTTTAGTAGGTTAGGCGAGCGGCTTAATACTTCTCTGCTCAGAGTCAAAGAGGCAAAGTGCTAACTAAACTACTAAGGAAAGAAATTCCATTCCCTAGGGCAGATCTTCCTCTCTCTCCCCATGGCCTTTCGCCTCTGAAAGCGTCCTTCCTTCTCAATGCCCGGGCATAAAATGTATTTACAAATGAATGTCTGGAATGACTAACCAATACATGTCGTGGAAGTGAATGAGTTGCATCATAGGTAAGTCAAAGCGCAGTCTGTTAAAACAGCATCTAGTTCCATCTTATTTTCGTTAGTTCCTTTTTTAGTCACAACCCATTCTGCTTCCGTTTGACTCGACTTCTCATCTTTGTTCAAATCCTTTCTGCAAAGCCTTGATCCCGGCTTTTCCTAAATTATTAGATTGCCTTGTTTGTCCACTTAAGCAGACAGGCAGAATGTCTAGGGCTTCATCTTATGCCGCCGGCTCTAGTTTTGTGGTAAGTCGTGAAGCGCCGGTAAAAAGAATAGTAGGCTTGGCTTTTCAGTATTGGAAATTGGAGTTACAGATTGGAATCACCACTCTTGGATTCAAAACAACCACATCAGCTTCATTTTTTGCGCATAGGGGTAGTTTTGTCAACTCGCCTGAAGACCACTGGAATCGTAACCAATACCCCTGGCCACACAATTCAAACCTACCAAACTATAGTACTTACATACCAAACCATTATCCGCCACCCCAAAACGAATCTAACCCCGGTCAAGGACCTTGCAATTGCACATCCATGCCAAATCCTATGTGGGTTGCCAATTACACCGTACAGATACTTGTGAGCAAGCCAATGATACAAGGTCCATGCCACAAAATCAATTCCAAGAACATAATAATAAGAACCCGATTTCTACTGATTTCTTAGCAACGGACCAAATTGATTATTCCAAAATTGCCCCTTCGCTTTATCAGCTTCCAGTTATAAGTTGTAACTTACTTCAAACGATTTGAGACCTCTTGATATCCAACATTGTTCTTACCAGAACCAAAGGCCACAGGTTATTGCTAATGCCTTCCACTATACTCAACCTGCATGGCAATTACTTAATCAAACTCAAGATGCCTATCCACATAGGAAAAGTTTTCAAGTCAAGAATGTCTATACTCAATTAATGAAACTCTTCAGCAAGCACCTTTCAATTGTCCAACAAGTCAACTGTCGTCAACTAGATCAATCAGGAATAAGCAATATGTCGTACCCTATCTGTCATATTTGCTTTTCGGTAAAGGGTACACACTTGTGTTTTTTTTTTACTTTTTCAATTCTCTGTCTTGCTAAACACAAATCCTTCTTTTCTTGTATAGACGAAATACAAATAAGAACTAAGTAGGTTTCGACCCATTAAAGGAGTCAATGGCACGCACACAAAGCAGGAGGAAATCGGTACCCCGCGAGGCTGGCGAAGTCGGCACAAGAAGTAGGCGGAGTAGAGGCAGCGGTTGCGGGCTCAGGTGCGGCTAAATCTAAATCAATATTCCGGGTTGGCGGAGTTGGTAGAAAGCACGGTTGGCGATAAGCTGGTACTAGTTTCATTCTTTCTATTCAAAAATCCAATACCCGGAACTGGTAAATCAAACAATGTAGGCACACGTTGGCACAGTTCTGTAAATAATAGATGTCTCATCCGGTTGAGCTGTCGCAATCAGTCTTTCTCTTCCTTTCTTAGTAGCAGATCCAACATGACTGTATTAAACCTTAAGCAATCAGGGTTAAGCTAGCTCATTGCCTGAAAGTGGAGCTCGTATTATACACCTTGACCCCCACCTTTTTTTAATCCTTCCTCCATATATATTGTTAGATAAGATAAGTCCCATAACTGCCTCATTCAGATCGATTCCAGTCGCCGCTACGGTCACATCAATCCGTTATGGCTCGGACCCTCTTAGCAGCTGGATCCTTCGGGAAGCCATAGTAGGGATTACGTCAGTACATTCTTAGGCGAGCAGTGGATTATATCACCCCTATTTTGGACCTTCTTTCTTTTTTAGGCATGGGACCAAGGTTGATCGAAGTTGAACATTCCTACGGAACCCCCCTTCAGACGACTTCTCCGCGCTTGCCCAGCACCTTTCGTTTTATGGACCAGGACCAATTTCACCTCAGACCATGGTCAAGTCATAACTGGCTGGATAACGTTCTCTCAAGGACCTGCAAAACTCTCTAATGCTGATACGTTGCTTCAGATGTGTATGAGAAGGAAGCGTCTCACAGGACTCTTAGATAGAAACCAGCATAGTTCTATGAATTAGCATGAACAGTTTATTGAACTTGGTTGCACTCGTAAAGCGAGCGTGAAGAGAGCAGCGAAAGAAGCCCACGGAACGGAGCGGTTATTTTTCCTGACTAGCAAGTGGACAGGCTCAGATGGCGTAGCTGATGTGTCATGCTAGGTATCTTTTATTGGCCATTTTGGATTTCTCTCAAGGGATTGAAGACTTTCCTCTATACTGACAGAAGCAGAGAGGCTGGTAAAAAAGAAACTACTGGAATGAAATCAGCTCCGGGAACACATGGTAATAGAACCCACTGGAGATCATTCAATCGGGCGTCTTCCACAAAGTCAAGCTAGAGTAAGTGGCGTAAGATAAGATAGATGTTCACTTTCATCGACCAATGTACCTGAAATTCCTATACGTAAAGTCGAGAGCTAGAGAGAGTAAATGAGATGTTCAAAGGGTGAAGCTAACGCTTCCCTGGCCACTAGGGAGTCATCAAAGTCTGAGTCCATACACTTGCTAGCTAATACTGGATCGTCAAAGATCTGATTATATTTCATAATACTTTCTGTCTCTCTCCTAAGGGATCCAATCAGAAGGAATTCCCTCAGTTCGCTCATGATAGTCGCTCGAGTTCCCTTTTCCTTTTTAGTTGAGTTTCGCCTCTCCTCCTTTCCTTGTCTCCATTGTGATTGATTCGTTTCTTCGCGCAAGCACTTGGTTCGCCCCTTACTATAACCATCCCACTCAATCTTTTACACCGATGTTTCGTACTCTCTCGACCAGGTCATCATAAGAAAATACTGCCAAATCTTTCCGAAATGAGAGAAGGAGGGAAGGCGCGCTACAACTAACTGCTGAAAAACGCAAGATTAGCGCTAAGAAGCAACCCTAGTTTAAGTACTAGCGTCCCACCCCAACGTTCTTGTACTTAAAAAGACTCTCCCCGCTTGCTGCTCGCCTCAGCCAGACGTGGCTTATGTAGTGGTCGGCATTCCTACGTGCTCCGACTGATCCCCACAGGAGATTATGTGAGGGGTCTTGGAAACTGTCGTGACGCTTTGGTGACGAAGGTCACCGGGGTGACTATGGAAGGATTCCGTGGTAGTCTCTGACTCCCTCCAACTCAATCAATATCAAGAACATGTCGTGAGCATGGGGTTTGGTTAGGCTTGGTTGAGTTTTGTAAGAAAAGATAGTAGGTTGAGGGGCTTCATTGATTAGTAAACCTACGGTGCTGGTAAGGTCGGGACCGTGGTCGTCCGTCTCCGCTTTGCCGGCCGATAAGATCACTGAGATTGACCAGCCAGCTGGGTAGGTTTGGCTATTCCTTTCTATTGAAAAGGAGTCAGCTGTCTGCGCGAGTCACCTTCCTTAGGCTCCGAGTCACCTTCTTCTAAGCTCCGCTGGACGACACGGCATTCTCGTTCTATAGGCCGGCCGTACTTGTGATGGTTCCCCAGGATCCAATAAATCTACTTAGGTCTACGTTGCCGCGATATTGTTCTATGGAAGCGGGTGGGCTGCTTTTTAGTTTTAGAAGTTCGGCCCGGTTTTTCCTTTATTTTTAAAGGGGGACCTTTCTAACGCATATTCTGTCGTACCGGCATGGCCCCACTGATTTGTTTTCGATCGGAGCATCAAGCAGCGCAACCCGGTTCTACTTGACTAAGCCCCGTGCTCGCCCAAGGAGGGAGTTTGCTTTACCCAACTCCCCTTTTTGATAACAAGGCAAAAACCTCCGACCCGACATTCATGAGTTTCGAATGAAGAATGAAGAGTGCCCTGCCCCTCTTTTTTTTCCCTAAATCTTGGATTTGGAAGTTGGTAAAGACCCACCCCTTGTTTAAGTCAGAATGAGTCCCCGAGACATTGGCTTCCGCCAACAGTGAACTATTAAGGATCGCATCCCGCGCATATTCCACATTATAGCCAGCAACTGATTCAGCTTCCGCTTCTGGGAGATCAGACGGAGCTCGATTAGTTTCTGCTAGACAAGGAATAAAGAACATAACCAATACGGGGAACAAGGGAATACCGGACCATATCTGCTTTTGCGCCATGACAATCTCACTCGAATTACAGGGACCTACACATATTAGTACAGTATACCGGGGTCCCCGGCCAGAACCACACGTGCAAGTTTCCCTGCATGTGGCTCGTCCGTGCTTTTATCCGAGGCGCTGCCTGCGACTCTGCATGGGAGAAGAGGGCTGAACTGCAAACTTTCGTGTTCACAGCATTGCATTGTCTAAGGGAGTAGGGTGAGTAAGCAGCGCCTACCAAGCTAAGCTTTCGTCGAAAAGGCGTCACTGCTTCCTTTTCGGCGCCCGCCCTTTATTTAGATGTTGGGGCAAGGCAAGCCCAAGGAAAGTCTAGGTTGGCGCTCCATCTCGGCCGGCATCCTGCTCTCGAGAGGGTGTGGTCCTTGAGCGAACTAGTCATGTGCTGTGTTGCCCCAACGCAGGGGCATTCGGTGAGGAGCTACGGTCCGGTGGTTGACAAGCCACTGATCGGAGGCGACTGGACTGGTTTCATCAAATGATGCATGTGGGCTGAGCCATTCCCATCCCAAGTGGTGGCCCGATTCGGCCTGGCCTGGTCGGAAAGAGATTCTAAATCTCGAATATGCGCACCAAGAATAGATATCTATGTTAGCTAGCGGGGGCGGGCTTTCCCCTGGTAGTCCCGCTGCGTCCTCTGACAGTCCGTCTCGTCTCATCTTTCTTTGGCTATACTTGTAGCCAGCCATATTAGCTCCACATTCCACCCTTTTTGATTTCTGACGAAAAAGGCAGTCATCAGTCGCCCCCTTTCCTATTTAGCTTTGCTTGCTGCCTATTATGAGAATAGGTCCCGGTTCAAGCGGCCCGCCTTTCATCATCATCTATACCAGCTGCCACGCACGATCCCATAGGAACGATTTCATCGCCCTAAGAAGCAGAACGCGCCATCACCTACAGCCCTTTCCTCTGCCGGGGACTTTCACGAAATGAAAACGGGCGGCATCATCGTATGCTCGACATTAGTTGCCCTGGTGTATATCCCGGAGTACTCCTATGGCCGATCTGTCACCCATACATGAAGGCCTTGGCCCCGTCCCGTGTGGAGAATGCCCCCCTTACGGCACGGCTTAGTCTGTTATTTTATTTTGTCAGAGTGGATTCGGACCGCCACTTCTCTGAAAGCATGGTTCTTGCCTCCCTCTCTCCTCCCTCCTTGGAGCTCGTCCATTCGTTGGGTGATCCCTTGCTCTCACGTTCGAGTGTTTGCTCGTCGTTTAGGCCGGTGAGTGACATTTTTGCTCATTGCAGTCACCTCCGGGGTTCTTCGCACCTGGGTAGTACCAGGACCCTTGTGCCCCGGACTGCACTGCCCGCCCTATGACCCAAAACTAAAAATGAGCCTTGCGACGAGACGTGGACATTCCTCATGCTGCGGTTCCCTCCGGTCCGTTCCCGGGTTGGGTTAGGGGAAGATCCGAGCGATTGCCTTCGCGGATCCAAACGTGCTCACAAGGCGCACAATAAGAATAAGACCAATAGAGACTTCATAAGGGACCATTTGAGCTGCAGATCGTAATGCTCCTAGAAAGGCATATTTCGAATATAGAGGACGTTCCCAACAATCCACGAGAATATCATACCC